GCGGTTGGATCAATGCCCTTGTAAAGGACTTGAGTGAGGGATCTTGTCCCTTTTTACCCTTTCACCACAAAGAGTCATCTTGGGAGCAAAGAGTAGCCCCTGGCCTGATACTGAATCTGCCAGCATCTGGTCTCAAACTTCTTGGCCTCTGGAAGTGTAAGAAATGAACTTCTAGCCTTTATAAATCACCCAGTCTCACATATTTTACCACAGAAGCTCACATGGATAAAACAGGTATCAATTTCTAGAGTTGGATTTCTCTAACAGTGGACAGGAGGCCGTAAAGACCTCTCCATGCTTTCTCAAAGCCCGAGTAATGGCTCATGACTAAGGAAATTTGGCAACAAATGAACTAAGTGATGTTCTTCCAAATAAGTACAGTAAAGAGTTTCATAATGTATCTATCCTATTATAAAGATAATAGTTCCCAGAGGAGGAGGTGAAGGGAGGGAAGGGGTATGGGAAAAAAATGAAAATGAAGACCTGTCATGTAAAGGTACATGATCCCAATGATGAATGTAACTGTACTGTATGCCTATAATGTACCAATAAATTCAAAGAGCAAAAAAAGATAATAGTTCCCTCCCCGATATCAACTTCCAATTTCCGATTTCTCCACATTTGTCCCTTCTTAATTTCCTTCATTAAAGTGGTACTGCACCATGGTTAAGACTGCCTTGTCTGGATCCAGATTGTCAGCTTAGCACTTTTATTCTCTGACTCCGTATACCAAACAATTGAACATTCTAAGCCCCACTCACATCTTCCTTAAAATCCTTCCCTGGTTCCAGCGCCGCCACATCTGAGTGGTTGTCCTGCATCCCTGGAGCCCATAACTTCTAAGCCACCTTGGTCCATGCCTCTTACCCTTCATCAGTTACCTATGAAGTCCCCAAGTGCATCCCTGGCCTCTTCTCCCTCTAACCGCCTTCTCCTTGAGCATCCTCCAGCACATGCCAAGTCCCAGACCTGCGTTTTTATGATGGCCTCTCTGACTCCGAGTCCATGTTTCACTCATCTCTTCTTCCTCCTTTCTCGTCTAGTTAGGATTCATCCAGCAAAGTAAAATCCAGTGTGGCCGGGTGTGGTGGCGCACACCTGTAATCCCAGCACTCGGGAGGCTGAGGCAGGAGAGTGAGGATCGCTGTGAGTTTGAGACCAGCCTGGGCTACACAGTGAGTTCCAGGTCAGTCTCAACTACACAGTGAGACCCTGTCTCAGAAAAAAACATAAATAAATTAATTAATAAATTCCAGTGTGAACTTTGCAGAGTGAATTTATCATTTTTAAATGATTTTTTTTTAAATGATCTCACATCTTTGTGGGATGCAGTATGGTAATGCAACACATGTATACAATGTGCGTTAATCAAATCAGGGTGATAAATCCATCTCTTTAACCATTAATCATCTTTTGTGTTAAGAAGTCATACTCTTCTGTTCTAGTAAGTTTGAAAGACGTCATGGGTCGTTTTGCCCGACTAACATGCTAAAAACAAAAGGAATGATTCTTCCACTCTGTTTTTGGTGCCCTTTTTTAAAATTTCCTCCTGTTTCTCCCACTCCAGCTTCTAGTAACCGTTTTTCTAATCCATACTTCTATAAAATTCACTTACTGCTTTCCACAAATGAGTGAGAATGTGGTCTGTGTCTTTCTGCAGCTACCTTATTCCACTTCACTTAACGATCTCTAGTTCCACCCATTTTGTGTCATATGGCAAGATTTCATTCCTTTTCACAAATATACACTATTCTACTCTATAAATACATCCTGTTCACCCAGTCATCCACTAAAGAGCACCTGCGTTGATTCCATGCTCCAGCTACTGTAAAGACTGCTGCAGAGCCTTCTTGGTCTAATGCTGTCCTTAGGTTATACTGAGTAAAGACTAGGTAGTAGAATCGCTGGAGCATATTTTAGTTTTTTAATCACATTGTTTTCCATAATGGCTACACTAATATGCATTCCCACCATCAGTTCCCTTTTTTTTTCTGTGTCCTTTACAGCATTTATTTCCAGTCTTTTGATGGTAGCCATTCTACCTAGGACAAGAAGGCATCTCCTTGTGGTTTTCATTTGCCTTCCTCTGATGATTAGTGAATTGAGCAGGGGTTTTTTTTCATGTATTTGTTGGCCTTTTGTAGTCTTTTTTTTTTTTTAGAAAGACAGAGAGATTTGCTTAGTTATGTAGCCCATTTTTAAACTGGATCATCAAAGAGAGAATTTAATGTGAATAAGTGGGTACTTGTGTGACAGAAGAGCCTGGAAGTCAAACAGGAGATGCTGAGGCAGCCCAGAGATTACCCATAGCGGGAAGATGCTACTGGCTGGGAGATGGAAAGGGGGCAGCAAGGGACGTACATGACCAGAGCCCGCAGGAGGAAGCTGCCCTGGGGACCCTCAGTCATGGCAGAGGCTGTGTAAAGACAGGCTGTCCAACCGTGGGCGGTCTCAGGGATGAGAAGTACACTGCAGAAATGGCACTGGGAAGAAAACTTTCTGACTTTGGCCCCCAAACTCAAGGTCAACAGAGTCTGGGAAATGCAGCTACTTCTGCTGTGCAGAACAGAAGGACAGGCAAGCACCAGCATAGCCCACCCAGTACACCTCGCCTCTTGTAAACAAGTGGCATCAATCCTCAGTTGGCCTAACTGCAGAGTCATGCCAGACTCCTTCCTCCCACTTCTCCTGCCTGCTCGGCAGAATGTCACCAAGTCCTGTTATTTCTTCTCTAAAATAAATCCCTTGTTGACTCAGTCACAGTCCTGCAGAGGCTGCTGTGTGCAGACCTCCACAGACCGCTCAGACCTTGCCAGACTGTTTCAGGGCCGTCTTGCTTCTGCTAAGGCTCAGCTCCTTACTCTGATGGGAACAGGGAAGCCCAGGCCATGTGAGGCTCCTGAGGCAGTCACTGTGGCTAGGGATTCAAAGCTTCTGCTTGGTTGGACTCCAGTCACATCCCATCCTTGAAACCAAGAGTAGAGTTATCTCCAACTAATTTCATGGGTAGAAAGCACATGAGGGACCATTCACCAAGGAAGAACAGTGTTCTGCCATAAAAAGGAAAGAGAATGCGTGTTGGAGAGAGAAAGAAAACAGGGTCTGCCACGTACTCCTCTTGTCCTGTCTCTCAATGGATTCTTTACCCCATATCAAGGATATGGTATGATGAGAAAATTCTAGAAATAAGCTAAATGTCCATCCATAGAAGAATGGCTCAAACTAAATGTACTGGTGTATAAAGCTCTCAAGCTTTACTATTTAATGCAAGGAACAAAACAAAAACAATAACATCTTTGAAAGAAAAAATAAAAGATAAGAAGAGGGTGGTGTGAGTGTATTGTGTGTTTACTTAACATCTATGGAAGAATACACAAGATCAAGTTAACAGGGGCTGTCCCCAGGAGAGAACAGAGGGACTGGAGATCAGAATGGGAAAGAAAGCAACTTTTCTTTGTGTCTCCTTTTGTTCTACTTGACCTTATCCAACATGACTGTTACATTTCCAAGTAAATAAATGAAACCATATAAATAAATAAATATATATATAAAACTGGGGATCAAACTCAGGTCCTTGTGATTGCAAGGCAGGCAGCAGCACCACTGAGGTAAATCCCCAGCCCTGAACTATATTTTTGAAAACTTAAAAATAATAAAGGCAAAAGAGAAAGTTGCCCTTAGTGCTGGGGTCCTGACTCCCATTCCTCTCTGTGACCCCCTCCACCCAGATCTTGGGAAGTGGCCGGGTCTCAGGGTCCCTGTGCTCTGGCCCACAGTCACTGACTGATGTGGTCCAACCACTGCCCTCATCGTTTTCACTGTCACTATCCTCCCACTCCTCCTCCTAACCTTTCGAGCAGGTGCTGCGTTACACATTTTGCATGAATACTTCCTTTTAATCTTTTTTTAATTTTATCTTTAATCTACATCCACGATGTAGCTACCACTATTATAAGTAATTTGCCTAAAGCCACACACTTGGTGGGAAATAATGAAGCTAAAATTAGAACTCAATCCACCCAATTATAGAGCCAACACTCTCAGGCCTGGCCTCCCACTGCCTTTAAATAAGGAAGTCGTAGGGCTGGGGATTTAATTTAGCTCAGTGGTTCTGCTGCCTGCCTCGCAAGCTCAAGGACCCGAGTTCAATCCCGGGTACAAAGAAAGAAAGAGAGAGAAAGAGAGAGAGAGAGAGAGAGAAAGAGAGAGAGAGGTAGTTCATGGCTTGTGAGGCCAAGGCACACACAGCTACAGTGTCTGCTTTCCCAGGACTTGACAAGGGTCCTGCAAGAACCACACCCACAAGAGCTTTCCTTCTACATCCCACAGAAGTCTGAGTATTTGGGAATGCACAGACCAAACCACTGCCCGTGACCTCGAGCTTGTTGCTGCGTGTTGGAGGGGAGAGACCTGTCCGTGTCAGCTAAACGGAGAGAAGATGGAAGACTTATCTGTTTATTTTGATAAATGTAAATGAATTCTATTCGTTGTCAAAATGTTATCAAGACCCCAGTGAAATGAGCAGCTTTTTTTTTTTTTTTT